GTCGGACTAAATGCTCTTTACCATGACTACCGACAGACATTCATGATACTGAAGAACAAAATGTATTTCCAAAATGAGTTTGATTTCTCTCTCTCCCTCTCTCTCTCTCTATATATATAATACAATGTAATACAGTGTAATACAGTGAAATATTTCTAACAAAAGGTCACAAGAACCGTTGTATATCAGTGCTCTAATCCTGAACTTGCATTGCATTGTGTTGTGTAATTGTTGCATGTTCTAAAGCCGACACTGCATTTTTAAAAAATACTATAAATGTCAACTGGCACGGGGAGGTCAAGTGAAGTGCGTAAGGAATGCGCACGCGATAGGTTCCGCAGACCACACCACTGATCAAGATCTCTGCAGAACCAACTCGTAGTGTTCTATCATGTTTGTTGGAACACATCTAACTGTAAGTAAATTGTATAACCGACTGATTGTAGGTCTATCATCTCTGCCGTCTTTTGCTGACGACCGTACACCAATTTTGCATTTATTTTGCCGACAAAATTAGACTCGCACTGTAGTGCAAAATACATTTTTACGTTATGCACAGGTAGAATAATTTAGATCCCTTGGACATTCCCCTCTCCCCCCCACACACACACCGAAACCTGTCGGATGAGGTCGAACAAGGCATTTCTTTGGTTGTTTTTATCTTCCTTGTAGGAAAGAAACATCATTTGGTCACAGGTGATCTGTTGCTGATCACATTCGGCTCCCATATTCCGACCGGGGTTGTGAAATTGACTGCGTTGATTTTGCTCAACTCTGATATCCGAGAACAAAAGCGTGCGAATAAATGTCCCTTCCGAAAACCATGTACTAACTCGGTTTCGGACTGCAATTCAAAGATCACCAATTAAAGCAGATAAAAGATACGGAGAGAGGATAGCACCGTGAAGCACACCAGAATAATTGACTAGAAGATTTGAAGTATTCCAGCTGCCCAGCTTTGTGCACTGGATTTTTTCGGTGAAATAATCAGCGAGCCACTATCCCATGCGGTTAAATACGAACCGGATTATGGTGAATGCGGCATCCGATACTCGTGATAGACCAAATAGCTCAGCTCAACAAGGTACATTCATTTCCTCCAGAAATATTATTGCAGGTGTCTGTGAGTGGAAATCAGTGTATGTGTGTGTCTCTCTCTGTGTGTAGACATGTGCACGCATGTGTGTGTGTACTGAGATATATTATGAAAAACATCACAAAATACTGACTACGGTATACAACACACAGTCTTTGAAAAATATCTACATCTGTGAAAGGCATAAACTAACACACACACACACGCACACGTGTACGCACGCTTGTATTGTGATTTGCAAGTCCTTTAGACGCATCTGGAGCACCAGACCGATGGATTACGTACGAAACAAATGTGTGAAAATCTAGATGGCTGATGCCATGAGTAATTAGTTTTCATCACACACACAAAAAAATAAAAACTACTCAGTGCTGGGAGAGGGGGTTCGACCAAGCATATGTGATTGTTTATAAAATCCAGAATTGTGCGATAAACATTTCCAAATAGAATGCACAGATAATTCTGACGAGGAGTGCATCAGTCAAGACGTGGAACGCGGCTGGAACGGTACTACGGCTCAGAGATGAAAGTGTACAATCTGGCAATTTATTTCTCCTCATTATACATCCTTATTTGTCTTATCGGGTCAACATTATCAACGACCGGGACGAATGAAACCGGAGGAGAGGAAGAGAATCCATTGGTTGAAAGAATTCAAGCGGCACATTGGAAATGGCACGAGTATTCGGTACACATTACAATTATGCTCTTTCTAATGATCATGGTCCTGATCAAAATTGCTTTCCGTAAAATCCCCTACATCGCTCAATATGTACCCGAATCGCTTCTGCTCATCATTATCGGGATCATTTTTGGTGGTATCGTCCGATACGGGATCCACAAAGGATCATACGAGGACACATTGTGGGTTCTAACACCAACCTTATTTTTCGACTACCTGTTGCCACCGATTGTGCTCGAATCGGCCTATTCCCTATACAATAGAACATTCAGTGAGTATTTGGGTGTGGTACTCATTTTTGCCGTGTTGGGAACCATTTTCAACTTTCTCATTATCGGATTTGCCATGTACGGATTGTTCAAAGCGGGCGCTTTCGGTCCAACACCACTCCATTTCAATTTGAAAGGATTTCTCCTGTTCAGCTCACTCATTGTTGCCGTCGATCCCGTCGCTGTGCTCGCCATCTTCCAAGATATCGGTGTCGAACTTAATCTGTATTATATTG